TACGTTAGTTTACCAGAGGGTATCTGCCAACCATTGTTATAAGACTCATATGCTCCATGTCGCTGGACTATTTACCAACATTTGCCTGAACAAAATCACGCAGTTTTGTGGGTAAATATACCATACATGGAGCATATGGGTAATAGTTATGTGGCCCCCAACTTAGCTATCATAAAATATAAATCAGCCATCCCATGAGAAGTCCCCGTTAAGTTCGCCCGCTATAAATCATCATGTCCCTATGTTTTTTTTGCAAACTTGCAGTTGTGGCCCAATGAACACTTGCAAATGGAATGAAATAACTCCTATAACTAGTTGGTTATCATTAAATAAATCCATCCAAAAAAACTTTTTTCCGGGCCATAAACCCATCAAAATCACTGTTTGTTGGGCCAATAAAGCCATCAACATAACAACTGACTGTTGAGGGCCATATAGGATGGTGCCCCCCAGTTAGAAGTTGGTTTATAAATTATAAACCCCATTTATATCCATGAACTAGTTCGTTATATCTACCATTTTAGGATCATCCTATCCCTTCACCAGGATTGCTCCGCGGCGCTAGAGTGGCTGATCAACGAAGGCTGAGATTTGCTCGAGTGGCTGATGGGTGGAACATATTTACCCTCGGGTAAACTTTTAATGGTGATTTAATGAGGTTTGAATGGTGATTTTAATGGATTTATGGTGATTTAATGGGATTTGATTGGGATATACCCTCTGGTAAACATACATAGCTATGGAAAATCACCATGTTTAATGGGTAAATCAACGATTTCTATGGCCATTTTCAATAGCTATGTTAAATCTATCACTGTTGTAGGATTTAAATGGCGATTATGGGCACATGGGAAAATCCTGGGAAAATGTCTGAGCTCAATGGGCGATTCTATGGGACAATTTTCATAGGATCTATGAAGATTCTATGGATATATCACCATCAACAATTGTGATAATATGTTGCATGGATATACCTTCCAACTACCCTCCAGTAAACTAAAATGGCTACGGAAAATCACCATGTCTCATAGGTATATTAACATATACATAGGTATATTAACATATATTAACTATAAGCTGCTATTTTCAATAGCTACGTTCTGTTAAATTACCAGAGGCTAAAACACATGTTCAATCCATTTATATAAACTCAAACCACTATATATCATTATAATCTAATTATAAACCCATTTATATACCATTATAAATAGTGATTTTCCATAGCAAAGTGTTAAATTACCAGAGGGTATATCCTGAGTTGCTGGTTAACTCCATAAATCCCATAGAAATCACTTGAACTGTGGATAATTTCCCATTATAATCCCATAGAAATAACCAGTTGTTTCCCCATCATCAATCACTATGAACCATTACTAACCACTATTGATCACTATTGATCACTACCATATAACTTAACCATTATTAATCATTACTAACCACTATTGATCACTATTAATAACCATGATTACTAACCACCATTATAACCATCATTACTGACCATTACTAACCAATAATAACCATTACTAACCACTAGTTATAAGTCCAGTACCTAGTTCGTATTAAGTACCATAAACCAAAGTGAAATTGGAGTTATGTTCACCAACTTAGCTACCGAACGGGGGCCTCACATTGTAACCAGTACTAACCACTATTGATCACTATTGATCACTATTAATCATTACCATATAACCATATCACTATTGATTACCCATATAGAATCATTACCACATCACCATATAACTATCATATATGGATTATATAACCATATAGAAGGGTTATATAACCATATAGAATCGTTTACCATATAGTGGTAATAATTACCATATAGAATTACCATATAACCATATAACTATTTTATAACCACTATTAACCATTATTAACGATTCCTAACCACTCTTAAATGGCCATAACCGTGGATAGCAGGCGCTGCGCTCTACCGCGCGGATCCCTCGGACGTGACCCTCGCCGGCACCTCTGCTGGAGGGCACCTGGCAGCGTTGCTGTTGACGTGGCATGGCGGCAACGGCAACGCTGGGGGGTTGGGGTTGGGTTAAGCCTCAACCATACCAATGATTAATGGTGATTAATAGTGGTTAATTAGGGTTAACAGGCCAGATAAATGGTTACAACTGGATATCTACAGTTATGGCCATGGCTATTAGTTATAAGTGGTTATTTCTATGGGATGAGAAACACTTTATAAATTAGGTTTTATTAGTACTTATAACTGGTAAAGGGCCATCACTATATGCGGAAATTATAATTGCACATGCCCATAAAACATAGGATTTATTGGTGATTTCATTGGAGTTCATGGTATTTGAATGGCATTTACCCAGGCTTTATATAATGGTTTAAAAGGATATGGAACCGACTTGATTTGATATTTGGTGATTGATATCGTTGATTTGCTGAGTCCAAGATGGCGTCCCCAGTCGATATCCTCCAGTTGCCTAAAAAAAGTTGCTGAACTCTACGGTTTATGATATAACGAACTAGTTAATGGATGTAAATGGGGTTTATAAAGCAACTTCAGACTGGGGGGCACCATCCTGTAGAAGTATCTGAATTATATGGGGATATTATCTGGATTATATTAGATAATCGATTTTTTAGGGATTATATTAGATGTCATGGGATTTAACCCTCAATAATAGGGATTTCATGGGATTTAATGCTATGTAATAAGGATTTATCACCAGCGTCATCAAACACAGCCTGGGGAATCCTCGAACTAAATGGAGGTTCATAGCTGGGAGAACCTAGCCACCTTTGATTCCTGCAACTTTTGACCATAAAAAACGGTGGTAAAACACCACGGAGTTTGTTTTAGCCTATCAAAAACACCATGAGTTTTGGATGCTTTCGGCCATGTAAAAGAGCAAGAACGTGATCAAACATATTCATGTCGTCTAGAACATGTCCATCTAGGAATATTCTCATGCTCTGTTCATTATATCCAACTGATGATTCCAATCTTTCATCACTAAGGCCAGTTCAACCCATACTTTGACGGTCAAATCCTGCGTTTTGATGGTTCAACCATGTTAAACCTGAACTTTTGATGGTGAAACCCAATGTCTGCTGATTCCCCTAACAGTTTGACTGATGATAATTGAATGTGTTCATGCTCAAGAACATGCTGAAACCAGACCTCTTAATTTTGGTATGTTGACTGAAACCCAATATTTCACTGGTTAAGTGGTTAAACCCACATTTCTGTTGGTCAATCCTAAATGTTCAAGTTTTGCATGTTTGAAACAGGCGATTTCCTCTGAAGGAAAAGAACTTGATGGACCCCCAGTGAAACCGCAAAAAAGTCCATCACTTTCGACTTGCGCAACCGCACAACAAACGTATACATTTGGGTAACACAAAAATCTCGCCCTTGATCAATACAGGATGGTGCCCCCCAGTGATGTTTGTTGATTGTAAATCCCATTAACATCCATTAACTATAGTTATATTTACCATAAACCATAGAATTCAGCCACTGTTTTAAGGCAACTGAACGCTATCTTGGGGGCCCTATCCTGTATGTTTCTTCAATCCCGAGGCCAAAGGGCAAAATGTTTGGGACCGTTCTATCCCCATAAAATATCTCCATGGACGGCTGATTTTCAGTAGCTCGAGCTAGAAATTGATCTACAGTTATAATATGGCCATGGCTATTAGTGAAATAACTGGTGATTTCTATGGAATGAGAAACATGAACTATAAACGCGGTGACTTGTGAGTACTTATAACTGGTATTTGTGGCCAGAACTGTACAATGTGAGGCCCCCAAGATATCTAAGTTGGTTTATAACTCCAATAACTATGGTTTATGGTACTTATAACGAACTAGTTACTGGGGCGAATCTAAACCAACAGACATAGCTGGGGGGCATCACCTTGTAGACATATATCAAAAAACATAGGTCCCATGATTTTGTTGCTGAAATCCGCTGATTTTTGCTAAAAACACAGCCAGTGATTTCTCTCGCATCACTGGTGGACGAAACCACAGTTCGTTCACCCATTTATATATATATATATACATACCTGTGACATCCTTAGATTGGACAAAAATGATCTGTTATCAGGGTTATCAGGTATATATATATATATATACATGTCGGATAGCCCATTATAAATAGGCCACTAACCAATTATAAATGGTGATAAGGTGCATTAGGCTACTAACCAATTAACCATTAAATCCCTTTATATATATGTATAACATGATATTGGGATCCTTTGGTCCAAAGGAAGTTGTTGCAAGACGCGAAGTTCGCGTTGCTTCCCCGTGCGGCGATGCTGTTCTATCCTGCGCTGGATCCTTCGGATGCCTGGTGAAGAAATAGCTGGATCCTTCGGAGACCGGGAGACAGGAATGGTTCTGATTTCATGGTGCTTTTCATGGTATTATGGTGGTTTGTTGGTGATTTCATGGTAGTTCATATTTCAATTGTTTGTTTTCTTAAAATGGTGATTTAATGCGATATTTTTCATGGGATCTCATAGGATCTGAGATTTTTTGTTCATGGTGTTTTAAGCCGGGAACTTGTTATGCGGATATGATACAATGTGAGCCCCCCCAGTGATGTTAGTTGGTTTATAAGCCCCAGTAACTAATTATATAGGTACCATAAACCATAGTTATTGGAGTTATGTTCACCAACTTAGCTATAGAAGGGGCCTCACATTGTAGATTATAGTGGGATATTTTACCACAACTTGACATGATCTCAGCGATTTGATGAGTCGATGAAATCCCCTTTTTCGAAACAGCTGGGAATGTCCCTATAATGTCCCAGCTGGGTGCTGGTTCAGAAATTCCAACTGGGGCGGGAATCTTGGATCGTTCTATTTCACAACTAACTTTTATGCTTGCCATTGTGATTGGGATATATATATATAATTATATATATACATATTATTAGTATATATATATATACATATCAACCGTTTGTTCTTCTGCTTGCAGGGAAGCCAAGATTGGCGATGCAAAATTCCATGTTTTTTTCTTATGTGTTCATCTTTATTAAACTGCTACCTTGGGGTTATTTCCGTTTTGCTGGAACAAAATCATGTGTATACTGTATACAATCCCTATGGATCCAAACACTGTCTGAGAAGGTACGGCTAACCCCCTAAATCATACCCCAGTCACACTTCGTAAGAAGGTACGGCTGGATCCATAGGGAATGTGTATATTCCATATGTATACGCATACATCTCTTCACATATGTAGCTATTTTCGGTGGAGCTTCCAATGGCATCCTGGCCATGAGAATTTTCATACACTCCCGTAATCAAACATGACAATCCACCATTTATAGATATTTATAGTCATTTCTAGTTGATGTTTCCTTCAAAAAAACTACATTCATCAGACGATTTTCTGGCCATGTTTGATGACACCGGTGAGTATACACCACCAATTTGGGTCCATTTTAAATAGAAAACCATCTGATCAACATGGCACAACATTGTTTGAGTTCATGATGTCCCATTGAACTAAGCTCAGAACATTGTTTTGATGCACACGGTATATATATATATATACACATACAAAGACCCTCAATTGACCCAAAAGTGTGAAGTTGCGCAAAAAGGTCTTTGGTTTCTATGTGTGGTATTTTCACCTGTTGGAGCGTTACCCTCCACCATCTCTAGTTGATTTTCCCATAACATCCATTCGTTAGAGGATTTCCCAGCCACGTTTGATGACCAGAGAATTATCCATATAGATATATAAAGTGACAACACCAAAAAGATCATTATAGACCCATATAGATCCATTTATATATATATATAATAAATATGGAAGCTATGTCTTGCCGACTAAGGACAGGTTTACTAACTCTACAGTGCGCCTTCCTTTCTCGTGCTCTCCCTTGGGAGTGCGCTATAAGATGAGCGCACTGGACTGTGGGGTGGGATTTGGGTCCCTTAGGTCCTGGAAACTAGGACAGAACAGTGGATATAATAACTGGGTATTTAGTATTTACCCTATAGGTAAAAGAGCATAGCCGTGGAAAATAGCCAGTCTATAGATGATTAACCATCTTAAACATGATGATTTTCCATTGCGAACTGTTTGCTACTGCTGCTGCTGCTGCTGCTACTGCTTCTACTGCTTCTACTGCTTCTACTGCTTCTACTGCTATTGCTGCGGCTACTGCTTCTACTGCTGCTACTGCTGCTACTGCTTCTACTGCTTCATTCTATTGTTTCTACTGCTACTACTGCTGCTGCTACTACTGCTGCTGAGTTTTTTTTTGTTCTTTCGACTTGCTGTGGTAGCAGATTCGCATGCATTAGGAGCAGTAGTGGCACTCGGAATATCACAGTTTGTTTTTTTATGATGGGCTTTTTCAAAAGGGTACGGAATCAGGCACCTTACGTAAGCACTCCCGATCCATAGTACAGATCACTGCGGAGCGATCCATACCCAATTGTTGACCTGCATGCACACACACATAATACATAATATATATTTATATAGTGTATATATATATATATATCTATATGATAATATATATATTATATATATATATTATATATATTATATATATATATTATCATATATATATATATTTGATTATTGTATATATATATATATTTATTAGATTATATTATATGTATATATATATATTATTAATATTATTATATTATATGTATATGTATGTATGTATATGTGTGTATGTATGTAATGTAATGTAATGTAGTGTAGTGTAGTGTCGTGTAGTGTAATGTAATGTAATGTAATGTAATGTGATGTATGTATGTATGTGTATGCATGCATGGATATATGTATGTATGTTTTGTATGTATGTATGTAATGTATGTAATGTATGTATGTATGTATGTATGTGTGTATGTATGTATGTATGTATGTATGTATGTATGTATGTATGTATGTATGTATGTATGTATGTATGTATGTATGGTCTTGGTGAAATCTTCCCCCCAGCAGGAAAAGGCAGCTGGTCCCTGCATGGCCCCTTGGCCAGGAATGGTTCTTTCAACTGATAGTCCTCCATGGCAATGAAGACCTGTGGCCCTCCGCAGAACCCATGCGGCAGCTGGAACGAGTGGCACCTTGCTGGCACCGGAGTCGGTGGGATGTAGAGTCGGTGAACGAGTCGGTGAGAGGATCCATAGATAGCTAAGTTGGTGAACATGACTATAATCATATATAATAGCTACGATTTATGGTAGAATAATGTAGAATAACTATGGTTTATGGATGTTTATGGTAGATACTTGCATATCTATAGTTAATGGAACGTCCTAATGTCAGCATTTGCCCTTTGTCAAAAAATCATGGCTTCATTCCACTGGATCTGCCATTCAAACTGATGACCTCCCTATTTTTTGATGATCATACTTTTATTAGACTAACATTTATACATAAAGATGATTAATAATTCTATTTCCAATTTTTTATTTAAATATAAGTAATCTATTATGTTATTTGAAACACACAAAATTTCAATCTGTTTCAATCGGTAGATTATTCGCAGTGGCTGCGATCCACCGCTGGCAGGGTTGATGATTAGTTCGGGGATTAGTTGGTACCTTTAGAATGGTAAACATACCATCGTAAACATAGCACCTATTTATGGTGATGATTAGTTCAGGGGAATCCCTATAAACCAACCAGTAATTATAATGGAATGATAGAGGGATTTTGAACACTGCTCACTTGTTCATGCCATGATTGTTAAACAACTCAAAACTCACACCTTTGATAGTCATGTCTCATGTTCCATAGTCAAACTCACAGTCTTCATGGCGAAATTCAACTGATTACACCTACAAGGTGAGACCCCCAGTTCGGTTCGTTGCTTTCTAATCCCCCAAACTAGTTGGATACATCTTTATAAACCACAGCTTTTATAATGTCAACCCTGGATTAATAAACCTTAAGGCTGTTTAATTGGGGGGTACCATTTAAGTATCAAACTATGACTATTGGGGAAGTACCCCCCTAATTAATAAACCATGGTTGAGCAAAATCCGGGCTTGACATTAGCTATGACCAACCTAGCTATGAGGCCTCACCTTTTACAAAGCCACCAGGACAGGGACTGCATTTCGCGGTGGCCCCCCACGTTGATCGTCCACGGCGACTGCGATGGAAACTCGACAGCCTAGCTTGTCACTAGAAACGATAGGAACATGTTGATTTGACCTGGCCAAACATGGTGACTTAATGGGAGTTAGAGCTGATTTTGAGCTGATTTATGATAGCTAAAGGTAGTGAAGATAACTATGAATCTGACTATGGTTTATGGTAGATATATCGAACTAGTTCATGGCTTTCTGAACCAACGAACCTTGTAGGGGCTTATCTTAGGATCCAACATAATTTTACCGTGAAATTATGCAACTATCAAACATAGGGAGCTTATTGATCTGTATACACTATATAGCTAGATATATGTTAGGTGGATTGGTTACTGACATTGGTTCTACTGCCTGGTTCAGTGATGTTCATTGGAGATAATTATGATCCATGATGGGAACCCGTTTTCAACCAACCAGGGTGCTTGTAACACTGTTCAGATGTCGTTCCAGTGGTTCTGATGAAAAGAAAGGGCACGGTTGGGTAAATATACTAAGTGATATGCAAAACATCCATACAAGGTGGTGCCCCCCAGTTACAAGTTGGTTTATAAACCATAGTAAGTATAGATAAATCACCAACAAAAACCATAGTTATTGGAATTATAAACCAACTGAGCCATTAAAAATACCGTGGTTAATTGATTGCTATAGGGCTCTAGGGGATTATACTACCTGGTTTACTGGGGATTATGATAACCCATAGTAAGGAAACCTATCAACCAACTACTATAATGAGATGGCTCAACTTAGCTAACGAACTGGGGCACCACCTTGTAGTTTCCCAAAAAAGGACATGATCTGTGCAGCGAACAGGGGATGCACATCACGTAGTTATGTATATATATATATATATATGTATACCGTTGTAAGCCACTTACCAATAACTATTTACTATATATATATATTTATACAATTTATATATATATTCAATATATTCAATATACATATATATATATACAATATATATATGTATGTACAATTTACATATAAATACAATATATATATATATATACAATATATATATACAATATATATATATACAGTATGTATGGTTTTATCAGCATGTTTCTTTAAGTCGTTTCCTTGAAGGGAATGCAATGTTCACACTGTGGATTGTTGAGATATCTGCACCAGTTGGTAGATGGTCCCATTTTCATCCCATTATTTCGAGTGGTTCATAGGAATCCAATAGTTAGCAACTGGTGCAGGCCTACCCAACCACCCATAAACCCCATGAAGGCCCATAGTGATATTGCAGTCATAAACCGCACCTAAATTGCCAAGTGTTTTCCTAGTTTCCTTTTAAATTTCTATTACAATAGGAAGTTTCTTCTAAATTTCCTGCATCAGTTGGTAATTATTGGTAACAACGAGACCCCGTAAATAATGAGATGATTGGGCTTATAAACCAGATGTTGCTTCGTTTACTTTTAATTACAACATTATTGCTAATAATGGGCTGCTGGGCTTTTAAGGGGATAGACCAGGTATGTTTGTAATAATGCAAATGGATTATATAGCCATTAAACAAACCAATAATGGCCTCATAGCGCACTGTTGAGGCCCTTTACCAGTTTTAAGTCTGTGAAATAACCCCATTTATGGTTCATGATAACCCAATTTATAACCACAAAGTTATCTGGTAAATGATTTTTATTTTAACTGTGGATAGCGTCCCGCTAAATCCCATTAAATTCCATTAAATCGGTATTTTCCCGACACTTTTCGAGGAGATTTGATATCATCTCAGACTTTCAACTTATCTGAAAGTCCCACTGGACCCATGAGGATTCAACATTTCGCCAGGGAATCAGATCACTCCATTTATGGTTCATGATAATCCCATTGGTTATTCAACATAGCCATGGAGAATGGCCCATAGAAATAGATGGTTTACCTATTAAAAATGGTGGATCTTTCCATGGCGAACTGTTAGTCATAACCAGATGGTAACTATAAAAAAAGCACTGGTAAAAGGGCGTGAATCCCCATTTTGCGTCATGTTTCCTATGGTTTCCCACGGTTTTCCTTATGTTAGATCGCCGTAAACAAAACGGATGGATTTATAACCATTATTGGGCTACAACCTTCCCGAAAATGTTTGATGCATGTGGTAAGATCGAAGATGGATAGAAATCACTTTAACTGTGGATCATGTCCAATTAAAATCCCATTAAATCACCATTTTGAGTGGGTAAATCAACTATGTCTATGGCAATTTTTATAGCAAACTGTTGAATTGCCAGAGCGTATATCCTCAGTTGCTGGTTAACTCCATAAACTCCATATACAGTAATAGAAATCACTTTAACTGTGGACAATGTCCCATTAAAATCCCATTAAATCACCATTTATAAACCAAGTATAAACCCATTTATATATCATTATAAATGATTGTCCATATAAGCGAAGTATTAAATTACTAGAGGGAGGGTATAACCATCAAATCCCATCAAATCCTTTTAAATCCCATGATATATATATATATATACATATATAATCATATATATATGTATATATATATATATATATTATATAACCATGATAGTTTTCCAGAGTTAAAATTGTGATTTTCTAGATGTTCAACTAACGTTTTTTCTACGTTTACTAGAGGGTTGTTAGTCCCATGGAGAATCGGTCGTGAGCTTCATCCAGGCATAGTCCCCATCGAGCACAGCGCCCACTTCCTCCTTTGCCTCGAGTCGTGGGCTGCTCCGAGTCGTCGCGAGGATCAGTTGCTGAGGGTGCCTGGGGGCAGGCGCGGGAGCAGCTGGGATGGGAGCTGGGAAGTGTTGGAGAGCCAGAAAAATGGCAATTTTTCATGTTTTTTTTTTGGAAGTCAATGAATTGTTTTTTATGCAAGCTGGAACCCCATAGCTAGGTTGGTTTGTAACTCCAACAAGTCTGATATGTGTATGGCAAGCAAAGTTCATGACAGCATTTACAGGGTGAATGTAAACCAACAAACATCTCTAGAAGGGTGGCAGGTAAGTTCTGATCCCATCCAGGCACACTTTCGATGTCCGTTTCCTTTTTCCGCTGGTTCATAGACCCTTTCTCCTTTCACAACAAGCAATAATTTATAGCCAATAGGCTATCTATGGCTATCTATATTGTCCCATCTATTTCTCTTAAAAGGACACATTTTCGAACCTCTCTATTGACCATAGCTTTTTGATAGCATATGTCTAGCTTCACTTTAGCCAGGCATACCTTCGAGAGTGTCTATGGCGATTTGTCCGACTGCTGCTACAACGCTGCGCTCTCATGGCTGCAGAAGATTCGAAGCTCTGAACATTCGCTGAACGCGAAGCCAGCGATGTGTGACCCTTAAAGGCCCACGCGAAGCCAGCTGATGTTGAGATAGAGATATGTATATGGTGATGTAATATGGATACTAATGGTTATTTAATGGTGATTAACCATCTGATAATGGAATATTAATGTCTGGTTGGTGGTTTTATGTTCCATTTCATATATGGGATGTCATCCTTCCCATTGACTCATATTTTTCAAGATGGTTATTGCACCACCAACCAGATATATTATGCAGTAACGAATTTATGGTGGTTTGATGGTGATATTTAATGGGGATATCTATATATATATATATACATATTGTATGACCAACAATTGCAATAATGAGTAATAATGGTCAATGTGCCATGGTCAGATTAGTTGGATGGTCAATTTACCAATTTTCAGGGATGGGAGTAGCTGAGTAGATCGCAACTCAACAGGAAGGGAATTGATTCATAGACTTGCTAACACATATATAGTCATATATTATCCTCTGGTAAACTAGCATAACTATGGAAAATCACCATTTTTATTGGGTAAACCAAGGAACTAAATGGCCATCTTCAATAGCAAACCGTTAAATTACCAGAGGGTATATCGTGATTGTCGATTGCTCCTTCCATTTTTCATGACGATATGATCGACGATGTGTTTCCTTTTTGAGTACCAATCGACAAATCGTGCATTTCTTGTGGTCATTTCGTTAATGGAGTTTATAAGCTTGTAGCTGATATGTTTGAGTTTCCCTTTACTTGAGCAATGTTCAAAAATTAACATCTAGATTCTAGATACTGATTTGTTGATGAATTCCCGTAAAGGGTCATGATGATCGACCATAAACCAGGCAGTATAGTCACCTACAATGTAGCCAATTAAGCAGGCTACAAGGTGAAGCCCGCCAGTTAGTCGGTTTATAAATCCGTACAGGATGGTGGCCCCCAGTTATGTGTGTTGGTTTATAACCACCACTAACTTCAGCTATATTTACCATAAATCCTAGTTAATTCAGACACTTATATCTCAACTGAATGCTGTGTTCGATCCCCATCCTGAAATATTCCATACATATCCCAGTGTTTATTTATGATTGGGAATCACTATTGAATCATATAACAACTGGGATATAAACAATCAAGCAATCACAATCCCAGTTTTGATATAGTTTGGGATCTGTTGAAGGCAAATGTTACAGACTGCAAGCAATTTCATGACTAGACAAAAACCGTTATTCTGGCAAAGACTTTCCAAATTATATGATATGCCATTTTACTGTACATCATGTGCCATGCTATCCCAGTGAAACGCGTGGTTAAATCTCCATCAGTTTTCGATATTGGCTGGGCGCTTTCCTGCAGAGACGATGGTCGAACTGAACGAGCGAAATGACTATGATGAAATCACCACTTAGATCATATCAGAATTAGGTTATCTTCGGGTTTTATTTTAACTTATGTTTGTGATTAATGTATGATGTATGTAATTATTTCTGTAAATGTTACTATATATATATATAAATACATGTATTCATATATTCAAACGTAGACATGAAGTGTATATTAAATGGCCCTTCTTAACTGGTATTCGGATATGTTATATGATATGTGATACATGTGTGTATATATATATATATATGCACAACAAATACTAAGATATACATGCCTGTATATACACATTGGACCCCCCAAAAGACAGATTGTCACTCTGTTTGATCATGTTGTGTCCTGTTCTATTTGTTGGAGTGGTTGCTTTGTATCTATACATACAATGTGAGGCCCCCCAGTGATGTAAGTTGGTTTAGATTCGCCCCAGTAACTTTAGTTATTTGTGTACCATAAACCATCGTGAAATTGGAGTTTTTTGCACCAACTTAGCTATGGCGGCCGGGGGCCTCACATTGTATACATAGACGTACAAGGTGAGGCCCGCAAACCATATGGGGTGAAGCATCGCCAAAATTCACATCATAGGGGACCTTACCTTATATATACTGGTTGGTAGTTTGAAACACGTTTATTTATCCATTCAGTTGGGAAGGTGATCATCCCAACTGACGAAGTCATATTTTTCAGAGGGGTGGATATACCACCAACCAGTAACAGCTTGCGAACTTGAAGCCATGGCCATAGAAATAGTTGATTTACCGAACTTAAATATGGTGATTTTCCGTAGTTATATCAATTATACAATGTGAGGCCCCCGTTCGATAGCTAAGTTGGTGCAAAAAGCTCCAATAACTATGGTTTATGGTACACAAATAACTATAGTTACTGGGGCGAATCTAAACCAACTTACATCACTGGGGGGGCACCGCTTTGTATATGTATATATATATCTCTCTCTCTGGATGACTTACAGTGACCTCACTCTGACGTTAAACGGGCAAAGCTTACGTCCAGTGATGTTGATTCTCAACGCTTCCAATTCACCCAGATCTAGTTGGTTATCCCATAACATATAACATCTCCATACCCTCTGGTAAAGCAACAGTGTGCTATAGAAAATCACTCTTTGAATAGCGTAAACTAACAGTTTGCTATAGAAAATCACCTTTATTTTAAAGCTAAATCACCGGACCGAACGAAATGGTCCATGGCTTCCATAGCAAACTGTTAGTTTACTGGGGGGTAAATCACGTGCCATTGACGGTTGGCGTCAATTTTGCGGCACCACTTCTTGTGCATGTAAGCAGGGTGGAATGGGTTAGGGTGTCTCGATACATGTAGCTGTAACCTGCAACTCCCTTTATATTGGCAATACTGCGTAGGATTTATCTCCGGCGCCAAGCACCACTTTCAGAGCATGGGTGCTTTGCACTTTGGCGCGCCTGGTTCATACTATTCACCGGGCTTCCGTTGCCCATGTGTGTAACTTTAACTTGGTCGCAGAAAGGAAGCATTGCAGCCGTATATCTGGAACTATAAATACGATACCTAGACTATACATTATGTATGTAACTATATATTTATATATGTGTATAAGTATATATATATGTGTAAATATGTATACACGTAAAAATATACATATATATATAATATACACATATCTGTTGCCTTGGATTTATTCTTTATGCTACTGCCACTCTTTCCCTCTCACTTTTTGGTGTTCTATTTGTGTCCTTCTCTTTCTTTCTTTCCCTGATGCTTGCATTCACGCCGAAAGTTCTGACCCAAAACACGTATAAGCATTCATAATTCCATGGACAGACATTTTGGAGCGTCAAATCTTCATGCACATGTACATGCATGTGCAATAAGTACAAAGGCTGCTGTGTATCAGGTGTGAGCGTGTGTGAGCGTGTTTGAGCATCATATTCATGTTTTGCCGCCTCGATCTGAATTTCGCACTAATTTAACCTTGCACACGGGAAACTAATCAAAGCCGCTTGGAATTGGCAAGTGGGCACGCCTGCAAATTAGTTGAAAAGAGCTCCAAATATCCAAAAGCACAATTGTTTTTTTTTTCAAGTTGGTGTGCCACATTAATTGACTACACTTGGCAGCTCATCGCGGTTCATCCGCAGCTGACGAAGATTCAGCTGCAGCGCTGCGTTTTGGCCGCCTGGCTCGCAGCACCGCACTTGTTGATTTGTTGAAAAAGGAATGGCGTTCGACCAAAAGATTAAATATGAACAGATCCACGTATAGCAACAACAAAAAAAGACACGGCATCTTATATAGCTTTCCAATGACAGCCAACAAGAGCAGATATGCCTTGACAATGCACATCAAACCCATGCAAGCACAGCTTGCTTTGTAGCTTCGGATCAAGTCTGCAATCACAACACGAAAATCATGCTGGACATTGCGCATCAAAGTTCTGGTACGGAGTGGACATGCGGAATCTCGGCGTAATGGTCTCGCGATCGCGATCTGGCATGCAAGATGTTTGTTTCTCACTTTCTGTATCTTTTTTCTCTCTCTCTCTCTCTCTCTCTCTTTCTTTTTCTCTTTATTTATCCACCCCAGGCACTGGCGAGGGCTTGACCCCCAGCTCCGGACGGCGGGCGCTGGAAGGAAAGTTCTCAAGGGCGCCGCCGCCACTGGCGAGGGTGGACAGCGGCCCAGCTCCGGCCTGTTGTGGCTTGATGTTGTTACTGCAGCGCAGGGGCAGAAGTGGCAAGTGGATCAGAAGCTGTTTAGTGGCACGCACGTGGAGGATAAAGTGGCTGATCCTTTCAGGTTGTCTTAATTGCACTCATCGAACATATGCGCGCTACGATTTGAATGCCTTCATCTGCCTCGAGTTTTTGCTATAGTTCTGTTGTCCGAGGTATACGCGGTAGGGGCCCGTGGCCTTTTGTTGCTGCAGACTTTGATGTACTTTGGTTACCATTGGTTACCGTAAAATTAAAACGCATGTTTTTGATTAATTTCAACATGGGGCGCAGGGAAAGTTACTGTTGGCGTGGTAGGAGAACGTGATCAAGTAGGCAGGCTCGCGGGGCAGATTGAGTTTACGGTTTAATGAAAATGGCTATGCTATTGGGGCTGCTAGCGGTGCAGGTGCAATTTATGTTTGGGGTATTTGAATGTGTAGAAGGGCCACGACATCAAGGTAGGGACCATCTGCAGCTGGATGGTTTGTTGCTAAACTATGTGCGTACTGGTGGGAGCACAATAAAAAAGTTTTAAGAAACACATTGCGCATTGGCCAGGCATGCAATTTATTCGGGAGAGCACGCGACAAACGATTGAATTTAAAGAAGACTTGGCCGATATTGCGGATGAGGCAGTAATGCATGCAACGGAAAGGCACCAGTGACAAAGCTATAGTGACAGCAAATTGTGCAGGACGGATAAGTGTGGATTGCGGGTCTGTGCATGTAAGCCTGCCAAGGCACTTCTGTTGAGTAAAGACGGTGCGCTTGAAGGCGCCTTTATGTTGAACTTTCTCCTTGTTCTTCAGCTGTCGGTTGCGGTTCTCCTTCTTCCATTGTACGGCCTTTTGTGCAGCCGTTTCTTTTCTTGCGGCCAACTTCCCAGGATCCACCCTGCGCACTGGCTTGCGCAAGTCTTGCCTGCTGATAATGGGTTGTACCTGCCCTTCCTCAAGAGCTGGCAGAAAACCCTTTTTCAAGCAGCCTTGCATTAAACTGAGAATCTCAGACTCCTTTCTTTGTGCCAAGGTGTGGAAGTATGCGGCCGAATGGTGGGCCAACATCTTGGCCAAGCTGAAAGCTGCAAGTTGTGGTGGGAAGGTTTGGATGTGCTGCTGGATGATTTGCTCTTGGCAAGCTTTCAATTGAAAGTGCAAGGCTTCATTGCTGCACGTGCCAAAACTCAGGAGTTGGAGCTCCGCAGGTGGCAGCACGTCGTGGAGTGCAGAGATGATGTGCGATCCGTTCCACAAGTAGCAAGATCTGGCGGATTGTGCGCCCTTTCTTGTCCTTGTGGCCCATGTTGTCTGGAAACGCAGTGCAAAGGGCTTGGATGTCATTGATATACTCCTGGTGGTTGCAGTATGGTTTGGCTGCTTTTTTATCCCAATCTGTTTCGGTAGCTTCTTTGTCCATCAGATTGTCCGACCAGTTGCCGGCATCAGGAGGGTCTTCCACAGCATGGCCACGAAAGAACGGAGCTGCGTATGGCAGGCGGAAGCGGGTTTGGATCTTGAGCAAGCATGAGGACAAGGGAGTGCGCTTCTCTCCAGTACAAGCTTCCACGCGCAACACCAAATGCAAAGCATCTTCTGCGACAGCTTCCAAGTTTGGCAAGACTTCGGCCGCGCCTTCTACAGAGGTAGGGCTATCAGAGAAGATGTACTTGACCGTGTCCCGAGCAGCTTGAGGCAGGACTTCAGCAATGGCCGCCCGAAACTGAGCAGGACCCTCCGTGCGCTGAAGGCTGAAGCCAGGCACAGCGCCCGACCGGCCAAGAAACGTGTGAAGGGCATGGAATTCACCTTGTTTCTGTTGCATTGGCACTTGTCCAATGGCGCTGGACAATATATACTGCAAACAAGCCATTCTTGGCGCTCAGTGGCAGCTTCAACCAAGCCTGCATGCAAGTCACGCACTGGCTTCAAGGCCATGACTTCTTGAAAGACCGCCTGGCGGGTATCTCCTCTGCGGCAACCAAGCAGTGCGCAAGAGCTTCCTCGAGAGACCCAATCACTTGTGATGTCGTTGAACATCGTGTGGACTTTGCCTCGGTGTTTGATTGCCTTGGCCAGCACCAAATCTGCGAAATCATTGCTAATGTAGAGCATCTTGTTGATCCGCAGAGCTTGTGCTGTTTGTTGCTTGAGAACATATTGTGGGCCAGTGCCAGTGAGAATCAACGCCATGTCCACAAAATTTTGGGTGGAGAGGTAGCGGAGCGAGTCTGCATCCAGTTTTGCCCAAGATCGAATGCAGGTTGCTGCCAAGGAAAGTAGGTTATCTTCTGCATGGCAGCCAGGTATCAGAGGTCGTAAGGCCTGGCGGATAATGAAGCATGGCATGTCCACGTGCGCATGTGTATTTACAACAGATGTGGTTCGAACCTGCCTGCTTCTGCTCAAAGATGGCGCATGCGACATAGAACTGTTGCTTGTTGGTGACAAAATCCTTTTCTGCCGTGTGGTATTTTTCGACATGTGTGAGGAGGGATGATCTTCGGCTGAATGTACGGAAGGGGCACATGGTACAAGCATACGCTGCTTCTGGATTCGATCGACCAGCTTCGCGCTGCAAACCTGAACTGAGAAACTTAAGATATCAAAAATGCTTAGAGGTTACGGTGGCTGATATTGGTATTATCATATTATCTCTGAAATGAATCCTGCACAGGCGGGCGTATACTTTCCTCGACGCTTCCTGCTGTCGTGATGCCTTTTTGGGGTAACGTCTGAAAAGGCCAGCGACTAGCAAAGAGGAAAAGTTTGTCATATACAACAAGAAATTTCACATCATGGAGTATCATGGACGCTGTTGACCTTGCAACTGTGGTAACTAAGCTTGGGACGGGCAAGTTCCTGGGAAACCTCCTTAGACATGCGCTCTCGAACTTGTGGCATGACCGGGCGCAAAGTCTCCTCAGCCTCCACCACACCGGCTTTCAAAAGAAGTTCAACTGAAGTCGTCGACGCCGCATCTTTTTTGCGACGCTTGGCCTGTGGTTCCCCATCCTGACTGATAATGGAGATTTTGAAGATGTACGTGCCTGGTGTCTTTGCTAGCTTCTGCCAGAGCAATTGCATGTTGGTTTGGATGTACTCCTCCTCTGTCGAGGTGTAGATCTGGGCGGTAGCCTCCACCATTTTCACACCATATGCATGACCAACGTCAGCATCCCAAGTGTTTGACGCATGGACCAGGAAACATGTCCCGTCACCGCTTTGAGTGGCTTGATCGAACGAAGTTGGTTCAATGAGAACATTGGGGCAAATCTCCATGGTGTGGTGGTAGGAGATCGGGCTGCTCAAATTGGAGGTTGCTTCTTTGATACCATTGGCTTCGTCTGGAAACAGGTTCAGGAGAGCAGTGCCAATGCATGAGAAGCGCCCAGGTAGGCGCTGGACCGGGTCCATACGGATGGCCATGTTGTTGGACAAGAGTTCGCGCAATATGTTCGGCACAGTCGCCTGCGGCCTGGTGCGGCTCAATGTTTTGACCTGCATCGTGATTCCTGTGCTGTCGCGAAAATCATTGAGCAAAGCATCTTGATTTGGCGCCCTCTCGGTGCCATCTTCCTCTGTTCTGCTCTGTGGCACGGCCAGCACTGCATCAAAGACAGGTGCAACCAAAGCAAACCCATACTTTGGCAGTAATTTGCAGAATGCTTGCATGGTCTGGTTTTCCTTGTCAAAGAGCAGGAAAGCCATGGTGGAAGTCTCTGGTCTCGGTCGGCCAGCTGCCCGCATGGCTGCCAGCAAGCTAGGGTGCCTTTCGCACATGGTGGCCCTCAGCCTCATGGCATCTGCTGCTAAGCCTTCAAGCAATGGGCAAATCACAGGTTTGCCACTCGCACGCGATGGGAAAGCAAAACCAAAGCAAGCCTGCAACAGGGCCTTCTTTGCATCCTGCTCGGCAAGGGCAAACCACTGCATGACGATCTTCCGCCATGTCCCTTTGTTTGCATGGTAGCGTTGGAAGCAAGGCAGGTCGAGCCCATATTCCTTTGCCCAGACCAATGCAAAGTGAACCACTGCATTGGGCATATCAAACTCCTTGGTTCCAGGCGGGCTTCCAAAGTCTCGGGCGGAACGAGACAAATTTGGAAAGCTGATCCAGGGGAAGAAAACACGCCCCAAGGATGCGCCAGCGGCTTTCTTCTGGTGCCCCAATGTGGAAAGGATGGTCACGTCACCCTCGATTGTGCCTTCTCTTTCACAAAGCTCTGCAAGTAGGCGTGTGTGTTCTCCTTTATCACCAGGGACCATCTCCGCAAACATCTTTCAAGCCAGCAACATCCATCCGGCAGGAAATTTCCCAAGCGTCTCCTCGGGGGAACCCTGGTGTCTCATCGGTGTTGTAGGCTGAAGCTTCCGCAGCGCTGGGCCAGAGCCAATCATTCCATGTTCCAACCACTTCCGGGATGTTCTGGCTTTCTAAGCATGTTTGGAGGCACTGGTTCCAACTGTCAGCATCGAGGCACCGGCGCTCAAAGCGGTCCAAGGGGGCTCCTGCACGTTGGAGACCGTCGACCAAGCGGATCAAGTGAGGAAACTGCTGCAAAGAATCCTTCAAATATTCCACCCGTAGTTTCTTCCCAGGCCGTGTTGGAGGAGCAGAGCCCGGATTTGAAGGCACAACAATCCGGTTGATGTCTGCCTCGGCAAAAGGAAAGGCATAGTATGGCATAGCATGCTTTTAAGGCAAAGCGAACAAATAAAATCTTCGATGGGCCGGGCGGCGAGGGGTATGTTAAAAAAAAGAACTGTACTCCAGGAGTTTGACTGTCGGAAGAGAATTTACATTGTTCTACCAATGGACAGCAAATTGGCGGATGTATACTAAGGCAGACGCTGCGGAGAAGAATTGGGCGTGGATGGAGGCGTGAGTCTCCCGGACAATGCGCTCAGGCAAAGTCGCCGCAGGAGCTTCACCAGGTCTTTCATTCTGGGCTTCAAGGCCTTGGGCTGTGTCTGGATGGATGCAGTCAGTGGTGCGGTTCATCTTCCTCAGCAACCAGTGGGTATCTTTGTGCATGCTCGTGCCTTTCCTCATGTACTCCAGGTTGTCACTGCATGTTGGCACACCGTTTGCCCGAAGATGAGGGAAAAGGAAATCTTGGAAGAAGCACCACACTGCTTCGCCAGAAGACATAAAGGACTTGGCCCCCGGGTCGGCATGGAAGACTTTGTAGGGGATGTCAACTTCCTCCTCCAAGGCTGTGAATGTGGACCGCATGCAGGTGCAGCGGAACCGCCTTTGATGGGAAACCTCTTCCGCCGTTGGAACACGAGGGATGTCACCGGAATTCAGTGCCCAGACTTTGCCAGTGCATGCCCAATGCCCGTATCTAGTCTCTGCTTCGTGGTTTCTGCGGAGAGGTAGCCAGCCACCTCCGACGAACACTTTGACGATATCCTCCATGATTCCTGAATCTCTTTTGCATTCATCAAAGGTGAGGAAGGCTGCATGTATGAAATTGGCACCTTGGACTTGGAATTCTCGCTCCGATTGCAGCATGCCGCACGGAGCGCAACTGAAGGCACTGCCAAAGACAGCTTGCAAGTGATCGACAAAAATCAAAGTTTTGCCGTCATGTCCACATCCAACAACAATGTGCAAGATGTCAGGCTGCCGGACACGGGCCACAACCAGAGCACATTGGTTGAGCAGCACTTGCAATCCATCTGAGCCTGCAAAAGACAAGAGGATGCTGGCGTATCGCTGTCTGGTGGCCATGCTGGGCACAAAGGCGATGGGAGTAGGGATGGCTATGTAACAACCATGACGGGCATCTTTCTGCATTTGTTTCGGGTTGCCATCCACAGTCGAGATGAATGCATCCTGGAAGCAGAGCCCTGGTTGCTGTTTGACCCGTATTTCTTCATCGCCCCAACGTTGGAAGCATTTCACGATGGTCCTGGCGCCAAGCTTGCAGGATGGGAAGCTCAACTAGACGAGGGGGAGTAGGACAAAAATTGCGAGTGGTTGAACATGTTCTATTTCTTTCTTCGTGTGGATGATTTGGGGAGTCTTGATGTCCTTGAATGCTCCGCAAATTGGTGCCGGAGCGTCCGACAAAGCTCAGACAGGCCACAGAGCCACTCACATGCTCTGACTTCAGGTTTCCTCTGAATGATATCCTGAAGTTGCCATTGCAAGAGAACCTCCTCCATACCCACTTGCTGGATGGCTTTGATCTCGAAGACAATGTCATCATAACATCTCTTCGGCTTCATCTGGGCCATTATGGAATAATACGCCTGAGCTCTACGAAGGGCCTGCAGGACGAATTCAAGGTTCACAGATGTCAGGCCACGAGAGGCAGGCGCCCATGCGCCATTGTTGTATTCGAAGGCGGTAGAGATCCCCAGCAACCAAGGCGAAGAGTTTGCAGTGGAGTAGCTCCGACTTGCCATCGTCCGGGCTTGTGTCCAACAACCTTGGCGGAAGGCAGAAGGGTTGTTTGTGAGAATTGCGTCATGCCATGAACCAATGTGACTTTGACTATGATGGGCCTCTACAGCGAAGCTTCTTTGGGAGGGTAAATCTGGCTCAATCGTTAGACTTGTCGAAACAAGGAATGTAGGCTGTCGTTTATCGAAGCTTTGGAATTGGCTTGGGATGCGCGTAGGAATTTCTTGTATGAAGATCTTTTGAGCTCCTCTTTACAGATCTACATAGAAGGTCCTGCTGCTGCAGTTGCGATGATGCTTAACCTCACCTGTTACTGTTCCATAGCTGCCGTTGCTTGTCTCTGGTACACTGGCTTCCTACCCTGCCAGTCCAAGAGGGATGCATTGCGCCCATCCTGTCATGCCCAATTTGTTTGAATCTCGCATTAAGAATTATCTAAGTTCAAGATAGGTGCTTGATATCCAGCTATAAGATAGGTACGCTACGCTTGGTACGCTTGGTGCGCTTGGTACGGTACGCTTGGTGCGCTTGCCCGCTTGGTACGCTTTGGGTAGGTACGTTTGGTACGCTTACCAACCGTACCGACCGTACCAATCGTACCAGTGAACCGTACCGACCGTACCGTACCAGATTAAGGGGGGGGTCAAGGGGGGGGCGTACTTAAGGCCTCTACCACCTATCTTGAACCTAGCTAAATTAAGAATGGGGTGCCCTAGCAGTTGCGCAGAGGATTTCCAAGCAGGTTGTGTTCTTGCATGTTCTTGCAACTTATGTGTTTTGGTTAGGATAGACCTCAAATAGCAACGAAACCTTGTTTTTCGGCATAGGCAAAGACGTTTATCATCGCCAGACACATGCAGTATTGGCACCAGCACACAGCATCCAAAGCGCGCAGTCGCGATGCAGCAGCAGCCACCTGCAGCGGCACCAGCACCCAGGCTCCAAACGCGCAGTCTGCACCCTGCAGCAGCACCAGCACCGAAGCTCCAAAGCACAGCTTATGAAACTTATGTGGGTCCTTCGGTTTTGCTCCGATACTTCGCTGTGACGTACATGGGCCCATTGTTAGGGACATGTTTTTACGGGGCACAAATATGGGTTTTCGTTGGGCGTGGGAAGCCGTTGATACACGCAACACCACCCGATAGAATCCGCATGCATGCAAGTGGCAGCAGCGTGGCCTGAGCTGCTGCTCTATAAGACTTCTGCTGATCGTCCAGAACTTTGCTTTTCCAACCAAAGGATTGATCGACTCGGTCTCGGAATGCTATGGTTTCTTCTGCCATTGTGGCAGGGCGTTGGCATACATCTTTCTGGATTTTGAGATGGCTTGCATCTTCGAACAGTCGTGGAAGCCATTCCGGGCTCCAATGCCGAAGAATAGATGGCTCATCAGGACCATGCTGTGAGACTGCCGCCGGAACCGACGCAGCATGGAAATGACATTGACTGGGAGGTGCTTGCTGGAAGTCGGGCATTTCGGGCGGATTGATGTCCAGGAGTGCTCGCGCTTGTCCATGCTTCATCATCCAATTTTCCATGTCTTCCGGAAGTGCACGCACGCTTTCCTCTCCGGTAATGCCTGGTGAGTGGCAGAAAAAATACGATTTCTTTATGCTAGGGCATCTAGATGCGGAAAGGTTGTATCCGCGCCTTCATCTGCTTGCGCCATGTGCTCTGCAACAAGTTGGGACAGCGCTTCGGTGAGGCCTTGCAAAAAGCGTGTGGTGGCCCTAACTTGACTGAAAGTTTGACATGGTTCGACCCGCAAAGTGACGCCCAGCTATGCTTCAAAAATGTTTGAAAGTCACCGTATAGCAAACAGCGAAGGAGTAAGGAACTTTTTTTTGGTGCATGCCATGTAATCACAGCGCTGTGCTGCTGAACATGTGAACATGTATCATTTCGAAACGAAGCGTATGCCGTATGCCGAAAGCGGTTTCAATGACTTTTCCCATGATTCCAATCAGAAAGGGGAAAAAGTATTGAGGTAAGGCAGGTAACATCCTTTATGCTGTAAAGACATGAAGCTCAGCCGCAGGAAATGCAAATCACATGAGCTGTGGTCCTTAATAGAAGGTCTTTTTTGGATGCAAGATCGTTTCCTAAAATGTCCATATCTATTTCTACATATATACATGATATCTATCTATCTATCTATCTATCTGTCTATCTATCTATCTACCTATCTATCTATCTATCTATCTATCTATCTATCTATCTATCTATCTACAATGTGGGGCCCCCCAGTTATAAGTTGGTTTATAAACCCGATTAACTATAGTTATATCTGCCATAAACCATAGTTATGGGAGTTATAAACCAACTTAGCTAACTATGGGGCCCCACATTGTATCTATCTATCTATCTATCTATCTATCTATCTATCTATCTATCTATCTATCTATCTATCTATCTATCACAACTATATATATATATATGCCAATGTACATAGAGAGAGAGAGAGAGATCCAGCGCATGACAAGGATAATATCCAGGGTTCTGACAAGGATAATATCCAGGGTTCTGAGGCGTTCATGCAGCAAAACATGTGTGGCACGGCCACAGCATCGAAGCGGTGCCAAGAATGGACCTTGAGAAGAAGAGGCGTCGCAGTGGCCACCTGCGAAGCCACATCTGTGGCGATAAGTCCGGCTGTCATGCGTGAAACAGAAAATTGTACATGTGCAGAAATCATATCTGTGAAAGTGAAAGGCTAGCGTTAACCTGGAACATTGCATCAGCTTCTGGCTTGGATAGGCGGACCAGTGGTGTTGATTTTTGTGGTCATTGAAAAAAACGGGCGCAGACATGACCCAGAAGCGTCCCTTGCCTCCCAGCATGCGCCGCGCAGGCTGCGGGTGTCTCAAGGCAGTAAATTAAGTCGGCTTTGTGCCAATGGTAGAGAAGCGGATCTGTGTTCTCTACAACTCGTGGAGAGAAATATCATAATTATATTGTTTTATGCATCGTTCCCCTTATCATGCTTCGATTAATTACAATGTTTTATGCATCCTTTGCCTTCTCATGCTGGTTGATCTGTTTGATCCAAAAATATGCGCCCTGCGAATAGTGCACGGGCAAGTGGGAGCACAAAAGAGATAGCTAGTGCAGAATAAGTCGTCACCACCGTGATTGCAGGAAATCCGGCCGTGGTCATGGTAGCGTGTCTTTCGATATGTACAAACAGATTAATCCATGAAAAACATATAGATATAAGATATGCTTTTTGATTCAAAGAACAATGCAAATTGTGACTTTATTGTGTATAGGGTATATTTCTAGGCGTAGGGAAACCTCTCAATCGGACACTTCTGTGCCAAGAAGCATTTATAAAGGCTTAAGGCTGCTTTGGCGGCATGAAGTCGACAGCAGAGTGGTGGTCTTGTGCGAATCGAAAATAGCACTAAAAAGGTCCCCCTCCTCACTATACTCCATTTAAAACAACAACAACAACCAATACAAAACAACACCATGTATCATAATTTATTCATTTACTCCTCATCGGCTCCATCGGCCTGATCGGCTCCAGCGGCTTGAGCGGCCTCATCGGCCTCATCGACTCCATCGGCTCCATCGGCCTCATCGGCTCCATCGGCCTCATCGGCCTCATCGGCTCCATCGGCCTCATCGGCCTCATCGGCTCCATCGGCCTCATCGGCCTCAGCGGCCTCATCGGCCTCATCGGCCTCATCGGCTCCATCGGCCTCATCGGCCTCATCGGCCTCATCGGCCTCATCGGCCTCCTCATCGGCCTCATCGGCCTCATCGGCCTCATCGGTCGCACTGGCGCCAGCGGCTCCAGCAGCCTCATCGGCTCCAGCGACTCCATCGGCCTCAGCGGCCTCAGCGGCCCCAGCGGCTCCATCGGCTTCATCGGCCTCATCGGCCCCACCGCCACCATCGGCCTCATCGGCTCCAGCGGCTCCATCGGCCTCATCGGCCTCATCGGCCCCAGCGGCACCATCGGCCTCATCGGCTCGAGCGGCTTCATCGGGTCCATCGGCCTCATCGGCCTCATCGGCCTCATCGGCTCCAGCGGCTCCATCGGCTCCAGCGGCTCCATCGGCCTCATCGGCCTCATCGGCCTCATCGGCTCCATCGGCCTCATCGGCCTCAGCGGCTCCATCGGCCTCATCGGCCTCATCGGCTCCATCGGCCTCATCGGCCTCATCGGCCTCATCGGCCTCATCGGCCTCATCGGCTCCAGCGGCTCCAGCGGCTCCATCGGCTCCATCGGCCTCCATCGGCCTCATCGGCCTCATCGGCCTCATCGGCCTCATCGGCCTCAGCTGCCTCATCGGCCTCATCGGCTCCATCGGCTCCATCGGCCTCATCGGCCTCATCGGCTCCATCGGCCTCATCGGCCTCATCGGCTCCATCGGCCTCATCGGCCTCATCGGCTCCATTGGCTCCAGCGGCTCCATCGGCCTCATCGGCCTCATCGGCCCCATCGGCCTCATCGGCCTCATCGGCTCCATCGGCCTCATCGGCCTCATCATCGGCTCCATCGGCTCCATCATCGGCCTCATCGGCCTCATCGGCCTCATCGGCCTCATCGGCCTCATCGGCTCCATCGGCCTCATCGGCCTCATCGGCCTCATCGGCTCATCGGCTCCATCGGCCTCATCGGCCTCATCGGCCTCATCGGCCTCATCGGCTCCATCGGCCTCATCGGCTCCATCGGCCTCCTCATCGGCCTCATCGGCCTCATCGGCTCCATCATCGGCCTCATCGGCTCCATCGGCCTCATCGGCCTCATCGGCTTCATCGGCCTCATCGGCCTCATCGGCCTCATCGGCCTCATCGGCCTCATCGGCCTCATCGGCCTCATCGGCCTCATCGGCCTCATCGGCTCCATCCATCGGCCTCATCGGCCTCATCGGCTCCATCGGCCTCATCGGCCTCATCGGCCTCATCGGCCTCATCGGCCTCATCGGCCTCATCGGCCTCATCGGCCTCATCGGGCTCTCATCCAGGGCCCAGCGGCTCCATCGGCTCC